TTGTAGACAATGTGGTGTGTTAGTAGTCACACAGAAGATTACATTGTCGGTCCATTATAAGATATAAATGGTATTCACAACTGAGATAGTTATGGACATGACTATCGGTGTAGGTTGTAGTATAAACTGGATGTTGCTTGTCTTGGCTATTGGTTTATACTAGTGCGCTGCGTCGCATTGAATGGATCACAATTGAGACGTGTTCATCTGTTCTGACTATCATGAAGAACCAAGGTCTCGGTGACTCTACTAATTCTTAACCCTGATTGTGGTACTTAGATATATGAGATATTTGTTTGTTACTTTGACTTACAATGGGTGAGGACCAAGTATTGGTTCAATATGCTCCGTGTCTTGGGTAACGACATTGTCTGCATGATATCAATTTATTGGCATTAGGGCACTGTGTCCTGGACATCCAGGTTGATGACGTCCCCTTAAGGAACTCATAAGGATTATCGTATAAACCCTGCAGGTGGATTTAATCCGTACGATAATAAGGTTGAGTGGTACTACTTAAGGAATAAAAGATATTAATTAATTAAAGCAGTCAGAAGCTTTAATAATTAATGGACGTGCGATATCTTAAACACGGGGACCTATATCGAGTCTAGTAGAAGCCCTGATTCATTTCGGGATAGGACGAGAGTGCAATATTAATTCTCTAGTGGAATGAATTAATATTTACGGGCCAAATTGTGTTCTGGGCTGAACATAAGAATTTGGGCCTGTAGGAAGCCCAAACCCTATACCTTCTAAGAGATCCCTAATGGCCCAAGGGCCTTTATAAAAGGAGATGATATGGGATATTATATGCTAGACCGGTTTGTGGGGCTAGCCGGAGAAAATAAGATTGGTTCGTCGGGTTAGCTAAATAACATGGGTCAAATGGTATGGTCGAACCGGACCAGGCACCTGCAACGAAGGACAGAGAGTAGACAGCAGAGATGAGTGAGTTCAAAAATGATCGACAAGCACCGGCTACTCGACGAGTTGGTCGAGGAAGGATGGTCGGATAGGGCATGGTCGTACAAACTTGGTCGAGCAGCAAAACGCACAAGGGAATCTCTAGCACGTGAAGGGAGGACACGCGACATCCTATGAGTGGCCCATGGCTATAACGAACTCTGACATTCTCTGACAAATTGGACGCGTTCCCTGACGTCAAGGATAGTGGAGGTGCGCTGTTGTACGGACAAGCAGAGGACGGTTGGCCAGACTCGCCTTACCTGCGCGTGTAGAACAGGTAGCTCGTTCCTATAAATAGGGACGAGAATCCTCACTTGTCAATACGATTTTCTGATATTCTCACATATTTATCAGAAATTTTATTCTCTCAAGATCTGACTTGAGCTTTGGAGGCTCTTCACCGGAAAACATCTCCGGTGTGGGAGTTTCGTGCAGGTTTCGTGTTCAACCGACAAGGAGAACAAGCTTGAGGCAATTTCCAGCCGGTCAAGGTGCGAGACTTGTATTATTGGCGCCGTCTGTAGGACTTTCGTTCGAAAAGTTGTGTTCTGAGCTCAGCTATGGCGGACGGAGTTCCTCGAGTGAATTTACAGTGGTCGTTTAATGAAGCGTGGACGACGACAAGACCGATGGGAGTGGGACCTCCACCTGGTTTCTCTGGGCCATCACAAACACCGATGACCCCAACGCCGGTGCCTCAGAGTGCGGCGATTCCAGGTAGAGGAGAATGCACGAGCAGAGAGCACGAAGCTCGTGAAGCAGCACCGACGGCGGCCCTCGCGCCGTTGCAAGCAGGCCCGGTTGTGGCACAACAGGTTGGACCATTGGCGCAGACGATGGCGCCGCCAACAAGAGGAGCACCGCAACCCCCTGCTCAACAAATGGTGACCATGACGTGGGAAGAGATGCAGAGGATGATTGTCACACCCCGCTTTTCGTACATTGAATTTCTAGAATAAATTTTTCTTTTTATAAGACATTTTAAAACTTTACTTGGAACCCAGGGTGCTACTTACTTTGAAAAATACGTTTCATACATAATCCTTTCATAACCATAAAACTTTTCATGAACATAAACATTTCATACGTGAACA